TCTCCTATCATACAAATATCTTCTTTGCCTAATTCTAAAAAATTTTCATGTATTTTTTTTTGTAGTAAGTATCTTGTTTATTGGGGGCATAAATTGCAACAAGTAAGAATTTCCTCTGTTCCCATACCACTTCTAACATTTATGTTTTCCCCACTGAATCTGCATATGGTACTTCTGCCTCTATTCCTTTTCTGACATAAATTGCTACCCCTCTTTTTTTTTCTTGTGATAGTGCTGTATAAAGTTTTCTTAATTTATTACATTATAAATATTTTTTTTATCCTGAGTTCTAATGTGTATATAACGCATCCAGAAAGCTTTAAAATTCAGCTGCCAGTGTACCTCCTGGAGGCACACTATATCCATTTTTTGTTTTGCCAATTTCTTAAAAGTTTAGTTCTGTTTCGATGGAGAATTAACTCCTTTTATATTTATTGACAGTATTTTCAAATTGTTTTCCATTTTCCTTCTTTGCTGCTATTAACTAGTTCCTGTTGTTCCTTGCCTCTGTTTGTGCCCTTGTTCTTACTCTGTTCTCTTCTTGTGATCTTTCTTCTTCTTTCTTTTCCTCTTCTTGCTCTTTTCCATTCTTTTCCAATTGTTGGTCATCTTGGCTGGCCGATTCCAGTTCTTCTCTGCTACTACCAAATTCTTCTGTGCCTACCAGTTGGGTGTGGAAGTGTTGTGCTTTCTCCAAAGTATCTATCTTAATCTTCTTCCCTTGCCATGACACCAACATTCCCTCCATTGTTATCCATCTGAACAGTATATTATTTTTGTTAAGTCGGGCGGCTAGGAAACGATATTCTCTCAGTTGCTCATGCACTCTTTTTGGGATTTGCTTTAATAAAATGATTTCTTTTCCTTTGTAGAATATTGGCTCATCTCTCGTAATTTTGTAGATTATGTCCCTTACTTTTTTCCAAAGTGAAATGGATATGCACTTCTTTAGGCAATCTAAATTGTCTGGCGTAGTTGATATAAACTTGGTTGACTTCGTCCAATTCACTGAGTATCTCACTTTTGTCTCTTTGGAGCGCTTCTGCAATTATTTCGGCCATTGTTGCTGTTAGGTCTTCCTCTTTAGTCTCCTCCACATTCTGAAAGCGCAGATAAAAAAAGGCTCTCTCCATTTCCAGCTGAATCAGTGAGTCTTCCACTTCCCTATTCCATTCCTTCATTTTCTGGCCTACAGATTCTAATTTCTGTTCCGTTTTTTCTGTCCTTTGTTCAATCATTTGTAGTCTTTGGTCATTTTTTTGTAAAACCTCTTGGATCAATCCCACTTTCTCATCTAACTTCTGGATGTCGTTTCTCGCTTCTCTTTTCACTTCCTCCATTTCTATCTTCATTTCTCCGTGGTTTCTGGTCATGCTTTCCTGTAACTTTATCATTGTTTCTTGTATTGATAATAAGGTGGCCTGCATGGTCTGTGTGTTTTTCACGGAGGCTGTTTTGTCTCTTGTAAGCAATCCTTCTATAGATCTTTGCATAGATGGGGATGATGTCGCTGTGGCTGTTTTTGTAGTGGGTTTCTTGTCGGTTTTCACAGCAGTTGTCATAATAATTGTCATTTCTTGCAATATTCTATGTTGCTGTCCTAATATTCTTTCTATCCTCTCCCACAAGAGCATTCAATATTCTCCCAATTTCTGACTCTCTTTTTATTCTGCCCTACAGTCTACAACTCTATATCTGGTATTAGATCCCACTTATTCCCACTTACTTATTTTGGATCTAATAACTCCAAAAGTTATTAGATTATACAATTTTACTGGTCTCTCCCACTGACCTAGACAACACTAATATTAACAGTTCGCTGTTCTATTACTTCTAGATATTAAATGTTTAAACTGTTAGTTAATTGATAGTTTCACATATACAATCAGTTACCTATCTTCAAAAATTAATATCTCTATAAATTAGTAGTTCTATGTTCCAATATACCTTTAGTAACAGTTATACTTTACTAAGAAGTGTAAATAAACAATAGCTTTAGAGTCTAATCAATATATAATTATATAAACCTAAATATTTAAGGGTTTTTATCACAAAATGCCACTAAATATCGTGTTACTAAAGTAAGAATAAAAAAGAAGAAAAGAAAGAAAAGAAAAGATCAACCACAATGTTCTTACATGTATAAATATAAATATTATAATCACAGATAACAATTAATTTTAGATTTAAAAGTTCCAATCAGATTGCTAAATCTTACTGTAATATTGGTGGCTATAGACTTAAAGGTCACAGCTCACCAGCTCAAATCCCCCAGCAACTAAGACTAACCTGAGCACAAGCAAGCCCCCACCTGAACAGAACACACCCCCAGCCAATCAGAACACAGCCAACCCCCCAACCAATCAGAACACAGCCAAACCCCCACCCAATCAAGTCACACCCCCACTAGCAGTTAAAAGGAAGAAGCAGCTGCAAGCTCACATTACTCCGAGAAGCACAAAGCCAAAGACACAAGCCTGAAGATGATGAATGAGACTTCATCGAAACGTCGCCTAGATACTTCCAATTTTACGTGGGAGAAAACCTGAATAACCAAAGATCCACATACATACATACATACATACATACATACATACATACATACATACATATATTCTTAAGTTTTCGCGGGTACTTACATGAATGGTATTCAGCTTTGTTCAGGTATTTTCCCACGTCATTATAGTTGTGCTTTTAAAGATGTAGCAACGTTTCAGCAGAATCTCATCTGCCATCATCAGGCTTCTGTATTGTGTTCGTCTGTAAGTCAGACTTTCACAGCCGTTTCTGTTTTAAATTTGGTGCTAGCCTGCTGCTGTGCCAGAATGGTTCTTTCTTCATCCTGATTGGTTGGGAGTCTTGGTCTGTGTTTACTGATCTTGGAGTTTGCTGTGTTCTGCTTGATTGGTGTTTCTAATATCTTCTGTCTGTTTTGTGGCTTTTTTTGTCTTGATTGGCTGGCAACATTGTGTTTCCTGTATTGGAGGCTTTTAGTGCTGCTTGGCTCCTAGTAAACGGACGGCTATCATTTATTAGGAAGGTAGGTTTCATCTGGGTGCCTGGTTGGGGTGTGTTTGAGCTGGAGGTATCGGGGGTGGTGGTGTCTGTTTGTGCTCAGGTGTTTGCCTGGCTTGTGGTGTAGAGATTTTTTTTGTTTGTGAGTGCAGGCTTCCAGATAATTGACAGTCTGGTGAAGTCATCTCTTCTATTCATGCTTTCAGGTCTTTTTTCAATCTCTATGGCTTCTCTGATAATTCTGTGGCTGGGGTTTTCTATAGTGGCTAGGGTTTTGGTGCCATTGAAGTCGATGCTCTGACCTGTTGCTTTCATGTGTTGGACTAGTGAGGAAGTGTGTTCCAGCTTTTTTACTGCATTTTTGTGTTTATCCAGGCGGGTACTTATTGTTCTATTGGTCTGTCCAATGTATGTGGCAGGATATGATGCACAGTGGACTTCATATATGCCTTGGTTTTCCAGGTCATCCTTGGTTTTCCAGCAGCCATCCTAAGAAACCCCAAAGATAAAATTGACCTGGAAAACCAAGGCATATATGAAGTCCCCTGTGCATCAGACCAATAGAAGAATAAGTACCCGCCTGGATGAACACAAAAATGCAGTAAAAAAGCTGGAACACACTTCCTCACTAGTCCAACACATGAAAGCAACAGGTCAGAGCATCGACTTCAATGGCACCAAAATCCTAGCCACTATAGAAAACCCCAGCCACAGAATTATCAGAGAAGCCATAGAGATTGAAAAAAGACCTGAAAGCATGAATAGAAGAGATGACTTCACCAGACTGTCAATTATCTGGAAGCCTGCACTCACAAACAAAAAAAATCTCTACACCACAAGCCAGGCAAACACCTGAGCACAAACAGACACCACCACCCCCGATACCTCCAGCTCAAACACACCCCAACCAGGCACCCAGATGAAACCTACCTTCCTAATAAATGATAGCCGTCCGTTTACTAGGAGCCAAGCAGCACTAAAAGCCTCCAATACAGGAAACACAATGTTGCCAGCCAATCAAGACAAAAAAAGCCACAAAACAGACAGAAGATATTAGAAACACCAATCAAGCAGAACACAGCAAACTCCAAGACCAATAAACACAGACCAAGACTCCCAACCAATCAGGATGAAGAAAAAACCATTCTGGCACAGCAGTAGGCTAGCACCAAATTTAAAACAGAAATGGCTGTGAAAGTCTGACTCACAGACGAACACAATACAGAAGCCTGATGATGGCAGATGAGATTCTGCCGAAATGTTGCTGCAACTTTAAAGCACAACTATAACGACATGGGAAAATACCCAAACAAAGCTGAATACCATATATAGAAATACCCGCGAAAATGTAAGAAAACAAATATATATATATGTGTGTGTGTGTGTGTGTGTGTGTGTGTGTGTGTGTATGTATATGTATATGTATATGTATATGTATATATATATATAAATCTTTAATAAAATTTATTTTAAAATTAAAAAAAGAAAATTGAGTTCTTGGGTTTCATTGGAGGGTGTTAATGTGACTTAAATTTGAGCATCAGCAGCTTTCTGAATCATGATTTTATGACTAAGGAGAGAGAAGGGCTAAGATTGTGCGACATGCTGGATTAGGCTAAAAAGGCATCGAGAGGTTTATAACTCCAAATAGTAAGAGCCCAGCCCTGGTTTGAGTGAATTCTGTCAGCTAAGCTGCCAGATAAATGTTGTAAGCTGCCCAGAGTCACCCCAAGGCAAGTTGGGTGGCAAACAAATTTAATATATAAATAAATAAAGTATGCCATGGTTTAATTGGGTAGAACGTATTTCTTACAAACACAGCCACTGTGCTTTCTGAACCTGACATTGATATTTAGTACATTGTGTGAATTCAGCCTTGTTTTAGCAACAACCCCAACTCCTAAACTAGCCTGGTCCCCTTTCTTCCCGGGAACATTTTGGAAACCGGCTGTGACAATGAATCTCATTGAATCTCATCCTGGCAGCTGAACATGATCTGGGGTCAAAAACATTGGAGGTGCGCCGAGACACTAAGAACGGCCGAAGTAGATGGAGACCCCTCCAGCCCGGCGCAGAGCAACTGCTACTCAATAAAGTAAGTCATCCTTCCTTTGTTTCTCTAACTGCCTCCGCTCTGACCTAAGAGGTGTGTAAGATCTATCTCTATTGCAGATTTGTCAGCTTTGTATTACAGTTTTAAGCCATTAGATTATGATATGTCACGGCAAAGTAAAAAATGCCATTTGGGCTGGAGATTGATCAGGGACTTATAATCACCTTTCCTTCCGTAGGGATATTGGAGAGGAAAAAAATATTGGGGCAATTTTCCAGTTGTCTGCAACTTTGATTCCCCCTCCCCCCCCGCCGCTTTTTTTTTGGTCTTTGCAGAGATGCTACTGAAATAACTTGAGCAACATGCTGGTGCCATTTATTTCTTCCAAAATGGCTTCTGATTTGCAGCATAATTGTTTCCCTCTCAGGTGGATTTGGAATGGCCACGATGATCTACAGAACCTTATAATAGCTTTCCTGCAGTCATAGACCCAAGATAGGAAAAACAAGGCCATTTGCCAAGAGGGTTCAACCAAACCAAACTAACAATCTGATCCATATATGTATATAAAATTTGGCAAAATTAAAATGATGACATATAATGAAAGAATAAAATAAAAAACTTATTTATATTAGACACATACACTCATGCAAAGACACCAGTGTATGCTAAGGACAAGCTTGATGTAGAGGGCTTAGGCAATGTGTCATGGATCCGTCTCTGGATGTGAGTTTGGAGGAGGAGGAGTTTGAGTTGGCAAAGGAAAGCGCAGGGCTGACTGATGGCCTGGACTGGGGCTTGGAGAGTGCTGGCCTGATGGAGCAGCCTCAGCTGGGTCAACCGGACGAGTGACAGGCTGAGGCTGAGCTAGGTGAGCTGCAGCCACAGTGAGTTGGCCAGGAGGCTCCCGGTGAGGACCAGGAGTAGCTGCTGCCTGTTATTGAGGAGGAGGAAGTAGTGGCGTCCACACCTCCTCCTGATCCAAGGAGACGTAGGGCCGAGAGGAGACAGGCAGAAAGCAGATCAGCTAGACTACTTGCGAGGAGGCAACCTCACCCCTTGTGAAGGGTCACCTACTTGTTCCTGCTCGAGGACTTGAGCATTGCTGGAGTAATGAGCCCAGTTCAGTGCCTTGTGTGTTTGTGCCTGACCCATTTGACTTGTGGATTGTTTTCCTGGACTTTGTGTGTGCTTGTTGGACTCAGTTTACCCAGTGATTCTTGCCATGGTAAGCTTGGAAACTGAACCTGCACAAACTGAACCTGCTTGCTTTCCAAGACCGTTTTTTGGTGTGTGTGTGTGTGTGTGTGTGTGTGTGTGTGTCTTTCTCTCTTTCTCTGTGTGTGTTTGTGTGTGTGTGTGAGAGAGAGAGAAAGGGGGGAGGAGTGGAGCAACACACCATGCAGCGCAGGAGGAAAATGCATTACCAAGGCAATGGTCACACAGAAGAGTGCTGAACCCAGGGCAAGAAAGTAGTGTGAATAAATGCCTCAGACATGCTATTCCTAGTTCACAGAGGAGGCACATTCAGACTTGCAAAATTCTGTCACTATATCTGTTCCAGTAAAAATACAGATTTATAGGGCTTTGGTTTCTTGATCTGGTCAATCTTTCAGGACTGAAACTAAGATCCATTGTGTTTGGAGTTGGCCAAATTGGACCATGTCTATATTTTGTTTTATCTAGGCCCGCTTTCTCCACAAGGTTCCTTCTAGAGGTCTTCTCTGTGCTCCAAATTTAGTATTTAGTATTTATTTGATTTGTCAATCGCTTACAAGATACAGGTATAAGAATAAACTTAGTTTTGAATACATGAGATAGATACTTATAAGAAAAATAAAAAGAAACAATAGGACAGGGATGGTAGGCACAGTTGGTGCACTTATGCATGCCCCCTACAGGCCTCTTAGGAAGGGGGTGAGGTCAATAGTAGACAGTCTAAGGTTAAAGTTTTTGGGGTTTGGGGAAGAAACCACAGAGTCAGGTAGACTAGAGTATTCCAAACATTGACCACTCTGTTGCTGAAGTCGTATTTTCTGCAGTCAAGTTTGGTGCGGTTAACCTTGAGTTTGTATCTATTGTATGCTCTTGTATTGTTATGATTGAAGTATTCATTGACAGGTAGGACATTGCAATGTATGATTTTATATACTATATTTAGATCGGACCGGAGGCGGCCTAGTTCTAGGTTTTCTAGGTCTAGAGTTTCAAGTCTGAAGGCATAAGATATTCTGCAATGAGTAGAGGAGTGGAGAACTCTTCTTGTGAAATATTTCTGGACTTTTTCAATTGTGTTAATATCAGATACATGATATGGGTTCCAGACTGATGAGCTGTATTCAAGTATTGGTCTAGCAAATGTTTCGTATGCTCTAGTTAGTAGTGTGATATTCCCAGAGAAGAAGCTACGCAGGATTAGGTTAACAACTCTTAATGCCTTTTTGGCTATGTAGTTACAGTGGGCTCTAGCACTTAGATCATTAGAGATGAGTCCAAGGTCCTTGACAAAGTTTGGATCCTCAACAAGGTCTTGATTATTTAGCTTGTATTTTATTTTCTGATTTTTTTTTGCCAATATGTAAAACAGAGCATTTATTTGTTGAGATTTGAAGTTGCCATTTGTCTGACCATTCTGATACATAGTCAAGGTCTTTTTGGAGGGTAGTAGTATTGTCTGTGGTATTGAATAGCTTTACATCATCAGTGAAGAGAATGCAGTTGCTCTTAATATGATCACAGAGGTCATTTATGTAGAGTATGAAGAGAGTTGGTCCTAAAACACTGCCTTGGGGGACACCACAGTTGACAGGTACAGAATTTGATAGAACACTCCCAATTTTGACCATTTGTTGTTTGTTCGACAGGAATGCTTCTATCCAGTTATGCAGGTGTCCAGAGATACAATAAGATTTTAGTTTTAGGAGTAGTTTGTTGTGTACCACTGAATCAAAGGCTTTACAGAAGTCTTTGTAGATTGCGTCTATTGCTTTGCCCTGATCGAGTTGTGTAGTCCATATGTTTTTGCAGTGTAAGAGTTGCAGATTACAGGATAGTTTTTTTTCTGAAACCAAATTGTTTATTGGAGAGTAGGTTGTTTGTCTCTAAGTGGAGGATAATGGATTGGTTAATAATTACAGGTGACGCAGCATAAGGAGATTGGTCTGTAATTTTCAACTAGGCTGGGGTCTCCCTTTTTGAAGATGGGGATGACCGTGGCTTGTGACCATAGTTTTGGCAAGGAGCTGGTCCTGAAAGATTCTTTGAAGATTATGCTTAGAGGTTCAGCTATGGCAGTGGATCGTTTTTTAAGAAGTAGGCACATATTCCATCCGGTCCAATAGATAGGGATGGTTTTAGATCGCGCAGTGCTTTTTCAACAATGTCTTCTGTAAAATCGATATGCATTAGATCATTGTAGTTGTCTGTGGTTCGACTAGGAAGTACTGGGCTTGATCCATTGCTGTTTACAAATACTGTGCCAAAGAATGTGTTAAAGAGGTTTGCTTTGATGGTGTCGTCGTTGTAGTGTTTGCCATTAGGTCCTTTCAGGGGTGGGAAGGACCTTGAGTCTTTTAGTTTGTTGTTTACAAAATTGTAGAAAGCATGGGTGGAATTTGTGCGTAGAAGGTTTTCCTCTTGTTTAATGTGATACTTAGTGCATTCAGTTTTTATCTGGTGGCATAGATTTTTGTATCGGCTTTTGAAGTTGGCAACGTGACCAGATTTGTTTTTTCGCCAAAGTGATCTCTTTTTGGATTGAAGCTTCCTTATTGTTATGGGTAATCTGTTTTTCCTGCTTTTGGGAGTTGTTATTGGTACATATAGTTTGATGGCTCTTATGATTTCTAGTAAGAATATGTTGTAATGGTCTTCAACAGTATTGCATCCAGTGAATAGAAATTGCCAATCAAGGGAAAAGAGATAGTTGATTATAAGATCATAGTTGCCTTTTTTGAAGTCATAATTGGGGATTTTGTTGTTGTGATGATTTTTGTGTGGACATATGTTGAGTCAAAAGTCAATCATGTTGTGGTCACTGTTGGAAAAGGGTTCTTTAATTTGTATTCCGTAAATTGAATTCAAACTATTGCAGAAGATGAGATCGAGGCAGTTAAGCCTAGTATTGTTGGTTACTAGTTGTTTCTGTCCCAGATTTGTTACAGCATTGTAGAAGGTTGCATGTATGGGTTCAGTTGTACATTTGTTTAGGGTCCAGTTAATGTGAGGTAGATTGAAGTCACCAAGAAAGATAAAAGCGTGTGGGCAGGATGCTGCCCATACTAGTAGTGTATGTAGCTTGTTTACATGTTCAATGTCATAATCAGGGGCTCTGTAACATAGTAAGAACTGAAATGTGATATTTAAGGTCAGTTCACAGATAATAGTCTCAGGAAGAGCAAGCTCCTGGGTAATTTGGATGTTTTTAGATGTAAGGACTTTTTATAGAAGATAGCAACACCACCTCCTCTACGGATTTCACGATTGGATCAGTAAACATGATAGTCTCTTACTGAGGTAATGGAGTCAGGGAGAGGTGCATTGAGCCATGTTTCACAGACAAATATGATGTCGAATTTAGCTGTATTTAGTAAGAGGAGAAATTCAGGTATTTTATTTACAAGGCTTCTTGCATTGAGTAGCTTGCATTTAAGGCCAGTTGTAGTTTGAATTGAGGTAGTTGGGGGCGTGCGTGCGTAGTCTTGGGTGATGGTGGATTGGTTGAAGTAGGGTTGAATGCTGAGTTGTGGGTTGTGTGACTTTCTTTTGATACAGTCTGCACGGTAATCAATGTATAGGATCCTCCTGGGCTGTTTTGTTTGTTCAAGAGATTTCCCCAATGTTCCAGAACTGAGTCTTGAAGACTTCTCTGTGTTCCAGATTTGTGTTTCAAATCTGTGTCCAGAGGTCTTCTCCATTTTCCACATCTGTGTCCCCGAGGACTGATTGGAAGGGCACCAGGTTAAGGAGGAAGACCTGACAAATGAAAGCCAAGGCAGACAATGGTCTATAACAGTTTATTTTGGTGGAATTGTCAGGCCTTCTTGACTTGGACGAGTGGATCAAAATATAGGCATAAAGGCTGGATCTTAGATTGAGGGGGATACTCAGATTGTTAGGAGTACAAGAGATATGCAGGGAAGTGCCTGGGAAGAAACATGCAGCTTTCTCCAGGAACATCCTGTGGCTTCATCTATGGAGAGTCTCAATCCTACAGGTCACAGTTGTCCCAAAGGTATTTTTTTTTTTTACCAAAAGGCAACTTGGACTTTCTTGGTTCTTTCTTAGAAAATGCTTCTCTTCTCGTCAATTCTGAAGAAGGGTCTTGGGTGAAAGGCTAACTGTTTCCAAAGAAAGAACCAGGAAAGTCCCAAAGCACCTTTGGGACATCCTGTGGTTTTTACCAGTGCGATAAAATCCCAGCAGGGAGAATGAATGGCTTGGCTGAGCAGGGGAACAAAGATTTTTTTGTGTTCTGGTGACAACAAACAAGCAGTGGCAGATTGTTGACCAAATGTTTTCTGAGTTCTAAATCCTGGCTCCTTCCTTGAGCTCCTGTATCAGGCCAGCAAGGGGTTCATCTCAAATTCTGCAGTTCTTTCTCCTCCTCCACCCCGCTCCCCCCGGTGTCCTGGGTGCGTGAAGCTTTGCTTGATTTGGGTGCACAGTCATGGTTGGCTCCAGATGATCTTCTGCAGAATTACAGGTAATCCTTGACTTACGACTGATTGTTTAACAACCATTCAAAGTTACCATGGACTTCGACCCATTCTCAAAGTTACTATAGGTAGTCCTTGACTTACAACAGTTCATTTAGTGGCTGTCCAAAGTTACCCTGACACTGACAAATTGGACTTATGACCATTTTTCAAAGTTACAACCTTTGCAACATCCCCATGATAATGGGATGAAAATTCAGATGTTTGGCAACTGGTTCATATTTGTGATGGCTCCAGTGTCCCAGGGGGGGTCATATGATCCCCTTTTGTGACCTTCTGGCAAGTAAAGTCAATGGGGAAGCCAGATTCACTTATCGACTGCAGTAATTCATTCAACAACTGTGACAAGAAAGGTTGTAAAATGGGGCAAAACTCACTTAACAAATGTCTCACTTGGTGTTCTGATCCAGGCTTCATTCAAATTAAGACAACACATGCTGTGTGTAAAAGCAAACCTTTCTTAACGCGATGCTGGGAATTATTTACATTCCCAGCCAAAACTCATTAAACACAATTGTCTGAGATAAGAGCACGCCTTTTAGGGTTGTAAAAGGCTGCCAAGAAACAGACGTTCACTTAATTAGCAGATAAACCGACAGAAGTTCCAGTAAAGACAAACCAGAGTCCACAGGGCTTCGATGAGGAATCAGAATCCAATGAACTTCTTTGCTTCCTGCAAAGAGCACATCATTGAGGGCTGGCTTTTATCCCTGATGGGAGGAGCAATCACCTCCCAGCCTTACTCGCCCCTGCTGCCTCAGCTGCTCTCGCTTCTAGCAGCTCTGCGCACACGTGTACTGGGCACAGGCTCCCCAGAGTCCTCTGCCTTGCCAGACTCCACAAGCTCCGAAGGCAGCAGCCCACTCCCAGATGGTCCTGGCCCCATCCCTGCATCGGATGCAGGACCTTGCCAGACTCCCTGACTGGTTCCCTTCTGCACCGGCTGCCAGCGAACCACAACACTCGACAACAGAAATTTTGAACTCAATTGTGGCCATAAGTCGAGGACTATCTGTATTGTTGCGCATGCATGTATGCTCTCTCTCACACACACACCATGTGGTCACATCTCAGGTGCTTGGCAGCTGGCTTGCATTCATGATCAGTTGTAGTGTCCCACGATCCCGTGAGTGCAATTTGTGACTTCTTTTTTGGCCCTATTCTTGCCTATTTTGCTGCTTTCTGACATTAGGGAAGCTGATTCCTTTAACGAATGCATGGTTTGCTTTACAATCATGGTGACCTGCTTTATGACCATCATAAAAATGGCTGTAAAATCAAACCTGGTCATGTGGCATCTCGACTTGTGACCACAGCAACTTAAATGGCCAAAATTCCAGGCTTCCTTGTGGTTGCGAGTCAAGGACTCCCTGTACGAGGCTCGTGATTGTCATTCGACCTGATTGACTTTTTACGCTCTTCCTTTACCTGCTACCTTCCAGATGACAGGAGAGATGCACCCAGTGTAGGGAAGCAGTTGAATATGCAGGGAATAGCAAAAATCTAAACAAGAAAAATAGCAGTTTTGTTCACCCAGAGAAGAAATGATGTTAAACAGCTTATCTTCTTGTAGGGTATATAAGCCCTTATCTGAGGATGCTATCAACTTCATTATATAGTGACATCATGTTACCATTTGGGGGAACTGGAGCAATGCAGTCTGTCTCCAATCAGCCACATTTAATAAATCAAAACCTTTTGCTCTCCAGTCATGTACAGCCAAACTTACTATAAATTAACCAATTTACTCTATGGCTTGTTGGCCTTGGGGTCAGATGAAGCGCACTTTTGGAGCAGGAGCACCTTCTCCTGAGGATCATTACTCTCTCGGTCTTTCCCACGGCATCCCGGGGATGGATGAAATGGAAGGTGTTTTGTTTTTAATTGGGATTTTGCAGAACGAAAACGGAAGAGAAAACTGCAATTAACTTGAGTGGATTTTTTTTCAGTGAAAACAATCCAAGGCTGAACAATCCTTTGTGGTTTGGGGTGTGGTTGACAAAGGAAGGTTTCTAGCTTTCCCCTTTCAAAATGGCCATGCCCTCCCCGCTTCAGAGGGGATTAAGATAGGGAAAAAATTAACACGTTTAAAAGACAAAAAGAAACCCCGTAAAATTTCTTCTCTATTTATACGTGGTTTGCCACTAGCATCTCACAAATGGTTTTCTCGACTCTGCAGAAGAGCTTCCTGCTCTGCATTTTCCCGGGGTCTCTCATTCAAGTAATAATCAGGCTAATGTGGCTTTCTAGTTCTTGGAGTCAGCAGGTCAGGTACTATCACTGCTCTGGCTAGACATCACTACATTTGAGGTGTTTAAGAGGAGCAGAAGAGACTCTAAAACAGATGCAAATGAAGAATTGCAAAAAGAGTGAATGAAAAATAGGAGTAACACTGAAGCATAGGCTCATAGGGCTAGAATGTGCCTTGGGGGGGGGGTCTTCTAGGTCAACTGTTCTGACCCAGGCTTAGCAGAACCAAGGAACAGACTCCTTGTCCTGAAAACCCCTTCTTTATTTACTGAGAATTCATGGCATTCACACACAGTAAAGTCCCAGCAATAATCCTTCCAAGGGTTAACTGCAAGAATAGGCCTTATCTGGATAATTGCTAGAGCTTCCAGTTGCAAAGCTGTAAATTAATTCCTGAACCACAATAAGCAAATCTTCATAATAATAAGCGAACTGTTGTCTCCTGAAACCACCACTCCTCTTTTGCTTCTATTTATTCCCCAGGGAGGGGCCATTCAGCATTCACGTGTGCCCCTCCTCCTGAGTCAGCCCCTGTTCCTCAGTTGCTCTCCTCTCCTGACAGCTCTGCGCACGCACATATCTGGAACAGGCTCCAGCTGTTCTTCTTCCCCACTTATCTCCGACTCCGAAGGCAGCTGGGAAATGTCAGACGGCCCTGGCCTTATCTCTGCTTCCGATGTAGAACATCCATCAGAGTCTTCCCCAGACTCCAGGTTTCTCCCCAACCTCCTCATCGTCCAAGTCTGCCGCCAGCTCTGCTGGCAGTTGACCTGCCACAACACCAACCCCCTGCCCAAGGTAGGAATCCTTATACCATCCCAAACAAATGGGCCAGATGCAAGTCTCTTTTTTCATCACTGTCGTAACTTTGAACAGTTGACAAATAAATGGTCGTAAGTTGAGAACTACCTGAATTTCAATGTAGGCATTGTATAGTATTAACCCATATATGTGATGACCCGGGGCGTGACACAAAAATAACAAAGTGACAAAAGTAGAATAAATTCCCTTTAATACCTCCAATTTGGTCCCCAATGTCCAATTATCCTTGGCTGGATAACAAACTCTTCAAAAAACAGTCTATGAAGGGCAGAAATGCAGTCTGAACCCAAAGTAAACATAATTAGAAATAAAAAAACCCAACACAAACCACACTGAAATAATTAACACGGCAGGCCAGGATGATAAATTGCAGACTTTCAAAGGATAATGCACACCCACATTTGAGAGGAAGCCAAAACCCAGATAAGCCTCGACAAAGATAATGCACGCTTTGCTTCCAGCAAGGAGCCGTGTGCAAACGTCCCACTTATATCCTGTTCTCCCAGCTGCAACTAATGAAAGGGATCAGGGCCTTTTCCTCTACCGTAACACATGTTGCTCCCTTCTCTGTTCCTCCCTGCGTGTCCTAGGATGAAGAGGGGATGGCCCTGGGTCTTCTTCCTCTGAATGCCCAGCCGGACTGTGCCCTTCCCCCGTTTCCTCCACAGTCACCGGAGCCACACTCCCACTCCCTGTCAGCTGCTCGACCTCCCTCTCAGAATCAGACTCCAACAAGGGCATGACACTATGTTAGTTGTGGCCTAAAGACATACTATGCTAATCTGATATGACTCGCAGTATGACATACAGTTAGTCCTTGATTTACGACCACAATTGAGTCCAAATTTCTGTTGCTAAGTGAGCCATTTGTTAAGTGAGTTTTGTCCCATCTTACGACCTTTCTTGCCACAGTTGTTAAGGGAATCATTGAAGTTGTTAAGTTAGTAACATGGTTGCTAAATGAGTCTGATTTCCCCTGTGATTGGGCTTGTCAACAGGTCGCAAAAGGTGACCACGAGATCCTGGGACACTGCGACTGTTATAAATATGAGTCAGTTGCCAGGCGTGTGAATTTGGATCACGTGACCTTGGGGATGCTGCAAGGCACATAGTATGGAAATGGTTGTAAGTCACTTTTTTCAGTGACGTTATAACTTTGAACAGTCACTAAATGAACGGTTGTAAGTTGAGGACTATCTGTACTCTGTTTTGTGTGAACCCAATTAATTTTAATGTATGTAACCAGCCAGGGGAAAAGAATTCACAGCTTAGCAAAAGGAGTGGGAATGAAGAGAGCAAGATTTTATTTGGGTGCCTCACAAAATTTGAGGGCAGCTAGTTAACTGTGGTCTACCTGTATCATTTCTCACACCTATTTCTACAAGACCATCTAACAGCCACTGATTTAAAACTCCTGAACTTGGTACTTACCCTCTTTGGCCTAATGGTTAAGGCACCAGGTTAGAAAGCTGGAGCCTTGTCAGTTCTAGTCCTGCCTTAGCCATAAAAGTTGGCTGGGTGACGTTGGGCCAATCACCAGGAGACGGTGAGTTCTAGTCACCCCTTTGATATGATAGGCAGCTGGATGACCTTGAGCCAGTCCCTCTCCCTATCCAACCCACCTCACAGGATTGTTGTTGTGCGGAAAATAGGCATGTTGGATATGTTTTCCACCTGGAGTTTTTCGTAAAAATAATAAAGGTGGGGTATAAAAATCAGTCAATCAATCAATCCTCCTTTTTTGCTGCTGTAGATTGTGCTGGGCAGAACCTTTATTCCTAAGTTTTCTAGGGGTTTGACGTCGCCCCTTCCATGTTGAAGATGCAAAAGGTTTTGCATGAAGGTATGACGGGGCCTAGGACAATTCGCCATGGCCAGCTCACCCTGTCCAACTTGCCATAGGATAAGTCACTGCGGAACAAGAATTACACTAACATCTAAGAAATGGTAGGAAGGAATCATTAAAGAAAGGATGGAAAAAGAGGGACAGAATGAAATGCGAATGACGTTAAAATATTTATTTATTTATTTTTAAACATTAGATTGAATTGTTAAATTGCCCTGTAGCGAGTTGTCCCGCCGTGAGTTGGCCACGGTGAGTTGGCCGCAGAGAATTCCGTGAATCTGTTCTATGAACTACAGCCTACAATCAGTCTAGCTTGATGGCTGAAAGGATTTTTTTTTTTTTGGAATGGATGCTGGGGATAATCTAAATCAGGAGTATTAAACTCAAGGCATGTGGGCTGGATATGGCCCACAGGGCTGACCTGAAAACACCAAAGGACTGGCCTGCGGTGCCTCTGCCAGTGAAAAGGAGGCCGTTGCAGCTGAAAATGGAGCCCGGGAACACACTTTCGCGAGCAGAGTGCTCGGGTCACCACTGGTGCCCCGGCATGAGCACCGCCAGGGGTGGGATTCCACCAGTTCACACCTATTCGCTAGAACCGGTTGTTAATATTCTAAGCAGTTCGGAGAACCGGTTGTTAGAAGAAATTACTGGCCTAATCCTGTAAGGAAGGCAGGAAGGAAACATTCTGGTGTTGCTGACAGAAACTGCCTCTCCTTTAACCTTATTACATTCTTGGTAGGACTAGACTTCCTGTCTCAGGAACTTCTCTGGAGTTTTTTTTCCTCCTTTGCTGGTACTTTGCTTGTGTGGAGTGACCATTCAAAGTTACAATGGCACTGAAAAAAGTGACTTATGACCCTTTTTCACACTTACGACTGTTGCAGCATCCCCACAGTCATGAGAGGCCAGGCAAGGAGATGCGTGCCTCGATGTGAGTGATGTTGAGTTGGCCCCGCCCAGCCAGTCACATGACCACCAAGCCATGCCCACCACCTAAGCCACGCCCACAGAACTAGTTGTTAAAAAATTTGAATCCCACCCCTGGTGATGTCACCCTGGCCACGCCCCACAGATCAAAGACAACTCTGATGCGACCCTCAATAAAATCAAGTTTGACACCCCTCATCTAAATCATAGCTATTCAAGATCATAGTTTCAGTCTGTTTTAAAAACAGGAGAAATTACGCTCAAGTAAATGTCATTAGGAATGAATTTTTGTAGATGTGGGATTCTGTGAAGCTTGTGTTACCATAACGGGCTGTGAGAATAACTTTGAGGGATGGGAGGAAGAGAGCTGCAAATGGGAAACGTTCAGATAAGAAAAATTGGAGTCCAAAACAGAATTGTAATTGGAGAAAGTGCCTCAAATTGGATCTTCCCCAATTCTCTTTAGAATAAAGACGGGAGGGACATTGAGTTGCAAGATTCTGTTGTTGTGTCCTTATAATAAAAGTAGTTTTTGTATTCATAAATTTGGTTTCCTGGTCTGGGCTACGATTTTCACACAGCTGTTGCATCATCCTCGTGGCCATACGATCAATTCCAGATGCTTGGCAACAGGTTCATAGTTATGACGGTTGCAGTGTCCTGTGACCTTCTGACAAGCAAAGTCAATGGGGAAGCCAGATTCACCTAATTGTGTGACTGACTTGGCAACCGCAGTGATTCACTGTGGCAAGAAAGGTTGTCAAGTGGGGCAAGATTCATTCAACAAATGTTTCACTTAGCAACAGAAATATTGGGCTCAGTTGTGGTCTCAAGTCGAGGACCCCCCTGTAGCATTAGCTGGATCTGAACAGAGATCTATTTCAGCCAAGAATGGCACTGGGAGGGTTTGAGCAGGATAATCAAGTTCTGCGTTTTATTGGAGTTCAGCATCTGATGACTGTATCACATTCACAGAGTTTGGATTGTTCAAACCTCCCACGTTTGACCTGTTCTGAATGAAGGCATGCAAGAACAAAAGGAAAATAAGCCCTATAAAAATGGAAGAGGGGAGAGAAATGGATAATTAGGAGTTCAAATTGAGGTGGGTGAACTCATCCCTGCTCTGCGTTGAGTTCTTTGGAAGAAATCAAAAATGAAGCTACCGCTGTAGCCAAACCTGCCCCTCCCTTTCTGAAGAGGTTTCCTCCCCTGCCGAAGAGGCCTTTGCCTTCTAACGTTGCTAGCGCGCTTGAAAGAAGAATCTTCAGAAAAGTGTCCCTGCTTGAAAGTATTTAAAGTGGCACTTTGCCTCCAACAAGTGTTCCTAGATACACACCGTGCCTGTCTTACTCTGATGAGAACTGCATTGCATTGTTTCAATTTTGTGCTATAAAGGGAGGTGTTATCCAGCAGTGTATATCTTTTTTTTTAAAAGAAGTAAATATCCTTTTCTGCAGAAGGTTTACATTCGTCAGAGACATGAAGTCAGTTGCTGCCAATTGCCAACATCTGAGTTGGTAATTTCTTCTTCCTCTGAAAAGGAAGCTTCTGTGTTGTTGTTTTTTTCCTTATTCCAGAATTTATTTCAATTCTTCTCCCCCTCCCTCTCTAATCCTGCTGGAAGTCAAAAGTGTCTTCAGAGTGTGGTCAAAAATGTCAAGATGTTCTCCACAAGGCTGGGATGGGAGCTGTGCCTGCCTATAGGTCACATGTGCAAAGACAAGTATAGGATGGGCTTCAGTTAGACTATAGAACACCTACTCCATGGGCAGGAAGGAACCTCAGAGGCCTTCTAGTCCTGATCAAAGCAGGAGACCTTATACCATCCTGGTCAAATGGCTGTGCAGTCTGTTCTTGTGATTCACCACTGAATCACATCTCTCCCTCATCTAGAATAGGGATCGCCAACCTTTTGGACCTCAGGGACCACCAAACTCACGATTTTAAATCCCACAGACCAGGGACCCTGGGGAAATCCCTAAAAAAGTCTGCAGGAAAATTTCCTACCTCGTTTTCCTACCGATTGATCATTCTTTATTTGGGATCGCAGGATACCGTCTCCAGCTCTGTTCTCAGGAGGAGGGGGAGAGAGACTTTTGGCTTCATGCAAGGAAA